TACACTTTTCATTTTTTATGAAATAAACCTTAGCCCTGGGGTTGAGATTTATGCTTTTGTACTGACATGGACTAGGTGTGCAAAATGTTTAGCATCCACACCGGAGAACTGACACTGTTTGCGAGATCAGCTCACTTTCTTACCACCCTGCGCCATGGAAGGGCAGCTGTCAGGAAGAGCAGGCAAAAAAGAGAGCCTTTGGCTCTCAGGCGGATTTTCCATCATTTTCCTCATCCCAGGAAACCCCAGGGAATCCTGCCCGAGTTTCTTTCGTGCGGGCTTCCTGGCATTTGATATCGTGTCCAACGTCCCCTTCAGCTGTCTTTTATTTTTTTCTGAAAATCACCCATGAAAAATGCTTCTGATTTCATGGTTCCCCACTTCTTCCCTTCATTCGCATCGCTTTATTTGGGCCTTTATTGCAACCCATTAGCAGGGCTGATGACTTGCTCTGGAGATGATGTTAAGGATTCTCAAGGGAGTCTTCATCAGAAGGTGATTAGGAAGAATAAAAACGTTGCTAGCCACCTCAGTCAGCATCGGTGGGCTGTCAGGGACCCGTGGCCAGGCTTCCCTGCAGAGACCTTGGTTCCCCTAAAGCTGTGGTTTAGGACGGTTCACTTTTGATCAGAAAATACTGACTGGAACACATGTTTTACCAGGAAAAGGGGTGAAAGACGTGGGTTCTGAACACTGAGACATTTTGGGTGTTAGGCACCCAGAGGAGAAAGGCTCCTGAAAGCATTTTCTGTGCACGTGTGTGTGCAGGGATGTTTGCAGAGGGAGATGGGGAACTCCCAGCTACTCAGTTGCCTCTCTTGATTTGCTCCAATTTCATTTCCATTTGCTAGAGGGACATCTGCACATTTTTCTGCCCAGCCAACATTTAATGCACATCAGTTCAGCCCTAACCCTCTGCTGAGGTCATCCACCCTCCACCTCCAGGCATCCCAGGGGGTTAGAGCTAAGGAGACTCAATACTCTAAATGGAATATTGAAGATCCCCATCTGTCTGGCAGTCCCAATCGATAAATGTGAGCCCTTCCTTTCCAGTCCTGTATACGCAACACGTCACCACCTGGTTTGAAGACAAGCGTAAGATCTGGGTTTCTAAGGGTTACTGAGTCTAAGCGCCCAGCTGTCACAGTGCTCGGCCAGAACAGGGATTATGCCCTTAATTATGCTATTCTGTTACTAACGGGTTCTTTTAAATTTCCCTCACTCCTTTCCCCTCAAGCAAAACCACCAGTGTCTGAAATTGTAGGTGCCTTTCTGACACTTTTACTTCACTTGCTGAACGACTGTTTTTGAAAGAGCTTTTGTTCAGGCAGGCAAACCTAGGCACCATGATTCTGGGGCATCTAGTTTGGCTTCTGCCAACTTATGAGGCTGAACGAGACCAGTTTGTATTTACGAACAGAGCGCTGAAGGAAAGCAAGCAGGTCTGATCCCATGAAACACCTCACCCATTGGTTGCATTGAGTGGGACAGCTACTCCTTAAAGCCAATAGTTTAAAAACACCCTGCAGAAACCACCGACCCTGTCACAAGCAAGCAAGCAGGCACAATTACAAAGCTGGGTTGTCTGAGGCACTTCAGCCTGAGCAGGACATCCCTGGGGACCCAACTAACACACAGGCTGCACCTGTTCAGCCTCCGTCACCTCTCCTCAGACCAGAACAAAGCTGACTGCAGCAGAAGCCACCCTACCAAGTATCAGGTTGCACTGCAGGGACTGTGTGCTTCCAGCCAGTGTGATCTGAGCTCCAGCCCACCCTCCCCTCAGCCCAGATGAAGGGATTTGGGATGCCTGAAAGGGGGAGGCGGTGGTGAGGCGGGTAGGAAGGGCTTCCTGTGAGAAAGGATGACTGAGTGAGATGGAGAAGCTGTCTGGGCTGAGGGGGTCTCAGCTTCCCAGCTAGTATTGCTCAAATGAGGTGAATGAATGGGGTGGGTGTGGGGAAGGGGTAAGAGACAGATGAATTGTCTTCAGAAGGGCTGTTCTACCACCAGGTTTAGGATTGTGGGCACATCCCTTCACTCAGAGGACCTCAGCTTCCTCATATTTTATTTATTTTTAAAAAATATATTTTTCATTGATTTCAGAGAGGAAGGGAGAGGGAGATAGAAACATCAATGATGAGAATCATTGATCAGCTGCCTCCTGAACACCTCCTACTGGGGATCGAGCTGGCAATGCAGGCATGCGTCCTGGCCTGAAACCGAACCATGATCTCCTGGTTCATAGGTCGATGCTCAACCACTGAGCCACACCAGTCGGGCAGCTTCCTCATTTTTTAAAAGAAAGGATTAGAGTAACTTTGGTCATTCTCTGTTTTACATTTGGGTGTAAGTAGACAGGGCAAACCTTTCAGTTATAGGGACAAGATCTTTCTGGCAAAAGGGGGTTCCTAAAGAATCTTATGTTGGATGGGGAGTTTTCACTTGTGTCCTCTAATAGCTTGGCATGCCATTGGCACATCACCCAGCAGCCTGCAGTCTCTACCTGGACCAATCCATTTTTCACATTGCTGCCAGGTAGCTTTCTAAAGCACAAACATATGTGTTTGCTGCTTCATACACTCCAGAGATGCTCCACTGCCCATCAGCCAAAATCCTAGCACAGGTAACCAGGCCCCTCCTGGTCTTGGCACCGACCCCCTTTCCCAGCCTTGTCCCACAGGCACTCTCAGGCCCTGTTCAAAGCCAGCCAGAACTTTCATTTCCCAAACACAGCACACTTGGTGCTTTTGCACAAGTGATCCCTTCTACGGGGGCTAGCTGTCCAGAGAACTCATTCTATAAGAACCAGCTCAACGGCAGCCTCGTGACCCAAACTTCTGGGCCACTTCCTCCCAAAGGCAATTACAGAGGCACATCAATCTGTCCTCATACAGGAGGAAGAAGGAGCCATATCCTAACCCAGTGGTTGGCAAACTCATTAGTCAACAGAGCCAAATATCAACAGTACAAGGATTGAAATTTCTGTTGAGAGCCAAATTTTTTAAACTTAAACTATATAGGTAGGTACATTATTATTAACTTAATTAGGGTACTCTTAAGGCTTAGGAAGAGCCACACTCAAGGGGCCAAAGAGCCGCATGTGACTCGAGAGCCGCAGTTTGCCGACCACGGTCTAATCCATTTTGTGCCTGACAGTGCCTGGCCCTATGGGTGGGATTTCAGAATCTCAATTGGAAATGACTTATCAAAGGCGACTAGATTACTACAGGTGTGAACTGAGGCCCCACCCCAAAGCTTTCCACACTCAAACTGACCTAAAACATTAAAAAAATTAGTTCAGAAGGTCAAAAGTAAACTATTGTAGCTGAGGACTTATTTAAATAACTTTTAAAAATATCCCAGAGGGGAAAACCTGACCTAGGTATTTCATAATGCTATTCTGCAAAGTAGAAATCAGGTGCTGCATCCCAGATTACTTCCAACAGTGTCTTCTGGGTTACAAGAGATAAATGCTAACAAGGAGTGAAATCTGGCACCTTCCACCTTATTAATATGTAAAAAGGCTGAAGTCACATCTGTGCAAGGATCTATTTTTAGTGGACTCTACATACTAAAATCCTAGCTTTGATCTCTTAAACTATCAAGCCTACCATAAATGTTTGATGATGAACAAGCCCATAAAAAGAAAATGCATAAAATGAATAGAAGGAGTCAGTGCGTGCTCTGCCTTTTAATTACCGGTGGCTTCTGTACAATCCTGCTCCAGGCTGGGTGCAGGCAGAGAAAACACATCAACAATTTTTTTTTTTTTCGGAAGGGGGAAGGGTATGGGTACTGCAAACAAATAGGTCTAACTGCATTGTTACTCATGCATTGGAAGCCAAATAGAGATGAAGGAAAGAGTGGACTGCTACCCCAAAAGTGTGAAATTTAAAAAGGGGAAAATTAAGAGATAAATAAAAGCATTCAGGACACAAAGGATAATGAACAGTCTTGTTTTATTACTTTAAAGTAATAAAGAGCCTTTTTGCTTGCTTTTTTGTTTTTTTCCCCTTTTTTCTTTTCTTTTTTACAACATACATTAAGTTGTGAATCAGATGTTAAGGGATGTGGAGATGGAAGGAAAGTTGGTGACATCACAATATTTTTACAACTTTACAACAAATATAAATCTGAGTTTGTTGCATCTACCAGTGTCTAGCAAGGGTGGAAAGCAAAGGCACACTCAGGTTTATGGACCCTCCCCCCACACGGGGTGGGGGAAAAAAGAAAAGGCGGAAAAATACTCAAATGCAGAAGACCAGCTCAATACACGTAGGCATTCTAGGGTCAACACTGCAAGTGATGAGTTGTGGGAAGTAGGGGTGTGGGTTGGAATTTTGACACAGGTCTCCATAACACAGCTGAGGCAATGACGTCCACACATGGGGATGAGAGGGTGGGCACTGCCCCGTCAATACTCTTGGGAGTCAAGCTTGGGGAAGAAGGGAGCAGGGTAATATACACCCATCACTTTCCTAAGCTCCGCATTTCTAAAGAAAATCTAACGGATAAACCAATATCTAGGTTTCTATCTAAAAAAGACTTCATGGTTTCAGGGTAGAGTTCACAGAATGTGAGCATTGACTCCACTAACAGAACAAAAATATAAGGACACAAAAACAACAAGGATTACTCCAAACAACAGCAAAATGGCAAGAGATGTTTGGGACAAAAGGTTGGGTGGGCAACCTTGCCACACACCTAGGTCTCTCTCTGATTATGGAGGCATCTCGTTTTTACCAGCCAACTTGAAATTGCCCCAAATTGTCGTTTTAGAAAGTTTTTCTTTAAAGACAAAACTAACCCCAGATCAAACAGGAAATAAAAAGACAAAGAGACCACAAAATATGTTTAACTGTTTAAAAACAACAACCAGAAATGCTCACGGTTTACAGTCTGTTGACAAGTCTTTTGTTCATGGTAAACAAAAGTCCCTTCGGTGTGCTTGCGCTAATGAAAACCAAGGGGAAAAACACCCACCCGCCCCACCCCCTACAAACCATAACAACAAAAAGGTAAAGAAATTAAAAAAAAATTAAAAATCTTTTGCCCCAGTCAAGGTTTTTGCAGCATCCATTGTAGTTGGCCTTGCACTCGGAGTTACTCATTAATCACAGCAGGGACCAGCCTGCCTGCATCTATTTCCATGTTATTTCTTTGTGTGCATCGCTTGCATGCGCTGAGCACAGGGCCTGGAGACTCCTCCCAGATGCCTGCCCAACTGCACACGGCGTGTTCTCCGGCCAGTGAACCTGGCAGAAATAAAGACTGGGACTTTAGTCCTTTTTCTGCTGGCAAATGAGGGTATTACCATGTTGAAATGATCTGAGAATCTAAGGGAAGCGGGGAGCTCTAGAGGGAGAAGGGATTTGCCACCCACAACACTAGGGTCCATGTTTATCAACATGGCCAAAGGGTGGTTGGAGTTGGCACGACTAGAAGGAAGTGTGAACTGGAGGGTGTGTGCGCCCAGCTTTCCCAGGCTGTGAGAGTCTAAGCATCACCACTGCATTCTTCTTCTATCTGCTGGACAGCTAACCCTCCAGAGGACTGGAGTGGGGTGAGGCAAGGGCTAAATAAATATCTGTGTTTCAAAAGGAGGGAAAAGTTTATCATAAGTGACAGTTTACAAGTGTACACAACTCAGGGTGTAAGGCACAAATTTACATGTGGAAAACAGGCTATTCACAGATGTAACCCCATGAAAAACCTGTGTGATCAAACCATTAATTTATGTAAGATAGCAGCCAGCGTATTAATTAGTTCACACCGTTTGTAGATTTTGTTTGCTGTCTCACATGCAAGGCGAAATGAGATGGCATATCACAAGCTGGTGCCTTCGCAAGAAAGTAGGAACCACTGACAAAGCCATGTTGGCAGCAATGAGACATGGCTGTGCCATTCTAGAAGTTCCTCTCCTGGTTGCTTTAGAAGTTAGGATCTGGAAGGACTTTTAAACCGATTACATTTTTGCATGTTATAGCACAGAGATTTCACCAGCAAATTAACTGGCAGATTTAAATAAATACTCCCCTCTTAACTTTCTCCTTCAGCTAGAGATCAGACAGTCCAAACACAAAGCTCAGATTCCAGCTCCAACTTATTTACTCAGTGAATTTATTGTAAAAATAAAGAAACTCAAATTATTCCAGTTAATGGATTTCACGTTAAATAGTGTAACTTCAAGGGGCTTTCTGAAGAGCTGTTCATAGGGTGGTGTGTGGAAGAGTCCATTCCTTAAGGAAAAACAAAGGGTGAACAATAAATAAAGTTACTTGCGTTAACGGTCACGTTATTTCATTAAAAGAGAGGAGCAGAAATCTATGACATAGTTGCCCAACATGGCATTAACCTGCTAGAACAGAAAGCTGTAACACTGGTGGGCATTTCACAGTATCTGCGCATAGTAAACTTCTGCCATTGTTAAAAGTCTGAGTTAGAATTATCAATGAATTCCTTTGTCTTTTTAACTTGCGTGATTTAAAAAAAAAAAAAAAATCTATTTGTGTTTTGCAAGTTGGAACGCTAGCCTACTTTGGCAGCGCCCTGTGCAGTCACGGACAAAATCCTGCAATTGCTGTTCACCTCTGTGTGACTGTGTGAGTGTCTGTGTGTGAGTGTGTGTGTGTCTCTCTCTGTGTCCGTGCACACATGTGCACACGTGTGGGGGGTGGGTGGGTATGTGCTTTTGGCTCATGTTTGTGATGATAATTTAAGTCTTTCGTGAGTACGACCTGTAGCGGGGAGTGGGGGGAGAGTGAAGGAAGAGAATGGAGGTGAGTCCCGCGTTGCAAACCTTCACCAAACCACGTGGGCCACTTGGCGAGTCCCCCCCGAATCCCAGGGGCCCAGCGTCCGGGCGCTGCGCGGCCGTCTTGGTCTGGTGTGCACTCAGGCAGCGGAGAACCGTGCGGGCGCAGCGCGCCTCGCCTTTCCTGACACCTGACCATCCCCTGGGATTATGTACACGCATCGTTGGGCTTCATGGAGGTGGAAAGGGGGGCAAAGGTAGGTTTGGGGGGTACGTCTGGCTTTAGCGAGGGGGTGCGCTTCAGCCCCGACCTGGTCAATGAATTGTAGGCGTTGAGGCTGGGCTGCCTCGAAACAGTCACTGCCGGACCCGCCGTCTGGGAGCCGTGCACCTGGATGGAGTCCACCCGCTGCGGGGCGGGGGGCGGGTTGTCTCCCCGGCCAAAGCTCTGGTTTCTGGAGAGGTGCGAGGAATTGGAGGAGTTAGTATTGTTTCTTTTGAGAGTGGTGGCCTGGTGGCTTCTGGTGAGCGAGTTCGTGGGGTAGCTCCTCTTATAGTCAAGCCCGTAGGAGGAGGAGTGGTGCATCTCCAGCCGCTTGCTCAGGCCGCTCTGCGACAGGGAGGCTCCCGGGGGGCCCAGGGAGGCCTCCCGCTGGGGCACCTTGGGGGGCAGGCTGTCCAGGTTCTCCACTAGGTTCACCCCGTGGTTGGGACTCTTGCTGCTGAGATGTTCCTTGATGGTCTTATACTCCAGGGTGGCCGCCTGGTCCTCCAGGGCCAGCTGGGCCACCTCGCTCATTTTGGGCTGGTCCACGTACTCGTGCTGGTAGCCCTGCTGCGTGATGGGCAGGACCACCACGCTGGGGATGTGGCTGGGGGAGGCCCGGAGGGGCAGGTCCGTGGGGATCACGGGGGAGCCCATGGGAGGCATGTCCTTCGTGCAGGCGTTGATGAGGTTCTGGTTTCTCTCCCACTCGCGGCTGCCGCGGCTGGGCTTGCGCTTCTGCTGCAGCGTCGGCGTGGACTCGGGGGTGGGCAGCGCCGCCAGGTCGAGGTGGTGCTGGTCGGCCTTGATGAGCATCTTGGCCGTGCTGCCGGGCGCGGCGAGCTTGCCGTTGTGCATGAGCGGCGTGAGGATGGCCTCCGGCTTCGGCTCTTTGGACTGGGTGTCCCCGAAGAGGCCGCTGAGCTTGGTGACGCTGCTCATGGAGCCCCTGCGCGAGTGGCTGAGCTCCTCCTTGCGCTGCGCCGAGGACCCGTCCTTGCGCCGGTGATCGCACACGCAATAGACCACGATGCCGGAGAACACGGCCCCCATGACAAACGCCAGGATGACCGCGATGGCCAGGAGGGTGACAGGAACGAGCTGGTCCTGGCCTTTGAGGTAACTCTCGCGAATCACTCCTGCAATAGACATGGCACGTGGCGTTAGGAAAGGAAAGGACACCGCGAAGCTGACTTGTGTGAGGCAGTCACCCTGTTAATGAATAACAGTAATAAGTGACAATAGCACCTCAGCATAACTCGTCTTCCAGGCGCAGCTGCCAAACATTAACTAATTAACCCTTCCCCCAAGGCGCCCCCCCCCCCCCCCCCGCATGTAAATAGACTGTTGCCTTTGTGTTCTGAAAAGTGCTTCTTCTCCCTCTCAAGTACTCCCTCTTTCTACTTGGCTTCACTCCGTGGAATATGGCAGTTTTGTCTTTTCCAAAATTCAGCCCTTTCCCCCTCTTCATCTTTTCTCAATCTTCCCCTCATAGAAGGGGGACAAGAGAGATATTTTGAGTCAGGGGTAGAGGCAACAATTCCACCCACGGTAAACGAACAAACTACACAATACTTCAGGCTTCCAGAGTGTTTTCTGATGACTTCCTGGTGGGCATGAGGGCCTCTATCTGGAGAAAAGCTACATATATTTGTCTTTCAAGCAACTGGAGGAAAGCGTGTCATTTACAGTGAAAGAAAATAGCTAAAGCCCACAGATTACAAATGTGTGCTGATTTTGCATCACCCCTTCAAACAAACAAACAAAAACCCCCACGCACACCCAAATTCAGGTAAATATGCTGAATATTTGAGTTAAGCTCTTGCCTTACTTGAACTAAAAGGATGGTTAGAAAAGGAGAGGGGCCACTTGGGGCCCTGAAGTGGGTTTGAGAAGTGTCATGTCTCATTATGACGGCCGGAGTTTGCTGTCACGGTGAGATTCTTCAGCAGAGCTAATCTCTTCCATTTAATAAAAGTTATGTCACTATACCCGTCAGTAATCTTACACAACACTAACCAAGACTCTGTGTTTCTGACGAAAGTTGCTATCCCTGTTCCTACTTAATAAGCCACCAAACAGAGCGATTCTAATCAAATGCAAACACTGAAGCTCTTATTATTTAATGCCAAGTGAGAATACACATCACCATCGTCAGATCTTAAGTGCTTGATGTGGTAGCTAAAAAATAAAACCTCAAATACTTCAATTCCTGCCTCTGGAGAGTGAAAGAACATGAATACATTACAGGCGCCGCTCGCTCCACTCCGGCTGAGGAAATGTAAACATTGTTCCTATTATGGAAACTGATAGTAAGACCGAAAATGTACCTTTCCTGGTCCCAGGAGACACATTTTTCATCTACTAAATCAACTCTTTCTGGAATATGTTTAATGTATTTTCCTGGCAGATATCAGTGGCACAGAATTAGAATGAAATGAAATAAAAATCTCCACTGTTTCCCAAACCCACAGCATGCAACCATTACACTTCTGCTGAAATGCTTTGTTATGTCACAGCTGGGACCGTGAAGAAACGCAGCTTTGTTTTGGGGCTTTTCTGTTAAAATATTTTGATTAGCGGAGTGATGGTTTTAAAACTCAGAAACCTTAGCCTGAGATGATATGTTCTCTTTTCTTCCTAAACCGTCCTCCTCTCAATTTTGACATCACAGTTGGTTGCTGTGGAAATGATGGTCCAGTGACAAGGGTTGTGACTTCAGGTGAGGAATACATAGAAGCAGCAAATATCTCTTGCGGAAGATTCCGAGATTAAACAAATGCCTTGGTAACGAAGGGCAGGGGCGGCAATGCACCCCAGGGAAAGTGTATGTAAGATGATAAGACACTGAATAATTTCCAAATGTGACACTGTTCAAATACTTCTAGATGTAGCTTCACGAAGTTTTAAGGGGTAGAAACGGAGAAGCAAAAAGCCAGCAGGAAATTCAGCTCTTCCTCACATCTTTTATGTTGTGGAGCTCCCTGAACAGTGGGGTGTCTCTGAGTTTAAATATGTTTTAATACCTAGCCACCAAGGATCTGTGCTAATGAAAATTTCTTCCTTAAATTTGCATTTCCTTGTTGTAATGCTAAAACAGCACTGCTTTTCTTCCCATTTTGATTGTGTATGGGGTTCTATGGAACATCATTTCTAACCACTTACATATAATGCTACAAGAATAAAATGGACTTAAGTTCCCTCATGGACTTGCCCCCTCATGGATGGGGGCACCAGATAAATTTTTTTTTCATTAAAGGGTATTTTATGAATCCCTTTCAGGCAAGCATATCTATGGGGGCTGTGTTTTCCCATTAAATGCATACTCATAACTGGTAGCTACCTACAGTTGCCTTTGGAATGAATATTACAATTTAAATTGCCCTCTCAGCTGAAGAGGAACATGAAAAGAATAAGGCTAGAGCAGTCCATCTTTTTCATTCATTGTTTAATTGGGAACACTGCAAAAGTTTCAAGTTTGTTATTGCTTCTTTACTTTCAGCTCCCACTCTTCCTTTCATATCTGAAGGTCCACTTCTATCTTAGACTCGTGGAAACCACTTGTTCTTTCACTGGGAAAAACTTTTTTGAGCGAGTGATTTGGGTTCAGGTTTTTGGTTGTTAACAAATCAAGTAGGGTCTGACCTTTGAGAAAAATGATGTGTCAGACACTTTCCCCCGTGTCTTGTTTTGTTATGAAAATAGTGCCCTTAAAAACCTTTCTGTATCTCTTCAGCTTTGATATCTACCATGAAGCAGGTGGCTTCCCTCATCTGTTTGTGCAAATTCAGAAACTCCATGCCAAAGTTAGAAACAGAGATTAAGTTGAAAGTGCAGTCAAAAGTTAAAAGTTATTTTTGGAAAATGCCTTCTAAATGTGAAGCTTTTTGCCTATATCATGAAAAGGGGCAAAGGGGCATTCATGGAAATGATTAAATCATCTCCGTGCCATTGGAATCTTAGGCCTCTGCTTACTGCTGGGTGACCTCTAGCGAGTGACTTAACGTCTCTGGCCTCAGTTTTTTCATCTGTAATGTGGGGTTAGCACACCTAACTTTAATGCCTTAGTGGGTTGTTGCAAGATTCAAATGAAATAATGAATCAGAAAGAGCTTAGATGCGACAGTTTGCTGGACAAATCTAAAAGGCAAGCCACCAAAGAGAAGTGGTGGGTTAGTACCTCACCAACGGCTCAAGGCCAACAGTCACAGGCCGCTCCATTTGGTTTCATTTGCTATGGATCTCATGGGGAAGAGGGCAGGCATGTTCTTCCAGCCCCAAACCTTGTGCTGTCCAAATGTTGCCAAAGGATGATATGTTGAGACAACCTAAGAAAACACTGCCTATTGGTGCTGAATTTTGAAATAAGTGAAACAACAAAAGTGGGCAATGTTCAGCAAAATAGTGATTACAGTTAGATTCCTTGAGGACAGGGACTGAATTTTATATGGATGTACCACCCTCACCATTCCCAGGGCTCTTAGGCATGTAATAAAGGATTATTAAATAAATGGGTTTGCAGTGCATTGTCGAGACATTTTAAAGTGGACTTCTACACTTGGTGGGTCATCTTTGGAGTGACTATAACCTTGCTTCTTAAGTCACAAAAACATATCTCCAATCATGTAACAGAATATAATCATACTGGCATCCATTAGACAAAAGAAATCTATAAAGCTGCTCAGTATTTGTTCAAAATAATGACATAAACTATTTTAAAAATGAAAAGAAAATTCATTCTGGGATAATTCTAAGAGATGAGGGTAAATGGGTTATTTGTAACAACTGAGTGTTCAGATAGAAGAACTGAATAATTCGAAACAAATTCATCTGTGCAACCATCACGGGGCAGCCCCGAGGAAGTGGAAGGACCTTTGTATGGTGGGTGGTAGACTCCCTCCCCAAAGAGGGACCCATCGGAGTTGGCTTCTATACCAGCCCCTGGGTTTTTTATGCTCTCCAGCTGAAAATGGGACATTAGTAATGAAAACATTTTCTGAAAAATCCTTTGCATTGATTCATTAACCACAAGCTATTTCTCACCAGTCATGAGGTGCTAAATGGTTTATTCTTTCCACCTTCCTACTGCAGGAAGCAAGGCACACAATGGCTTCCCGATTTCTCTGAAATCATGCCTAAATTGGCAGAACTGAGAAAGAATAGAATCTCCACTGTTGTGTTTTTTTTCCTGAGGCGAGAGAGTTTTGAGATGCTGGAAGAAGGTCTCAGAGGAGCAGTTAAAGGGCTTTAGAGGTTGAAGTGATGAAAAGATTATGAACAGCCCCGCCCTCCAGGCCCTGCAATATGTAACTCAAAATAAGAACAATTATAAGCTGTAAAATAAGAGGCATCTAGCACAGTTCTGATTTTTCCTGTGATGACCATGTCTATGCATTTTGAAATTTCAAACATCAAATTCTTTAAAAATGGCTTTTGGCAGCCCTGCTTGCAGGTTCTCTACAACTTCCTGGCCTGCTCGGGAAGCACAGCACCAGGCTCTGAACAGTCACCTCAGGGAAGGTGCACTCCTAACTCGGGACGGATTGTGATGTTATTGGTGCCTTTACTGTCACTCTTCTGGTATAATCAGGTTTCGACTCCAAGCATCTTTGGAACTGTCTCCAGCAAACATTTGCTGAGCATGGATTAAGGCACTGTGCTAGGTGCTGGGGAGACAAAAGGTGAAGGAGACACAACCCCGTGATCCAGGAGGGGAGAAGGAGGCAGGTGCTCACACTGTAACTACATCCAAAGTGTGAAAGTATCATGAGATACATCGCTTCTACTTCAACATGGGCAAAGGCTTTATGTAGGAGGTGGCATTCGAGCTAAGTCTTAAGAATGCATAGGATGTCATCCCGGCGGGGTGGTTCAGTTGGGTGGAGTGTCGTCCCATACATCAAGAGTTGTGGATTCGATTCCTGGTTAGGGCACATACCTAGGTTGTGGATTTCAATCTCCAGTCCAGCCCATAGGAGAGGCAACTGATAGGTGTTTCTCTCACTCCTCTCTCTCTCTGTCTATCTTTCTCTCGATCTCTCCCTTCCTCTCTCTCTAAGACCAATGAACATACCCTCAGGTGAGGATTAAAAAAAATGCATAGGTTGTCAGCTGAAGAGAGAGCAATAAGAACAAGGCAT